TCAAAAGAAAAAGGAACATTTGCTTTTTTAGATCTTTGCTGTTCAACTGAATTATGAAAGAACCTGATCAGTTTGAGTTTTCTGAACTATTTAAGGATATATTGATACTGGTTTTCAGTTTTAGTAAATATTAAGTTGGACAAGTTAGAGGCCTAGCTTGGGAGCGGCAGCAGTTCTCCGAGCCCCTACAAGTGCATTTGTAGATAATCTTTTCAGTAAGAACATTAAAGGGCTTTGCACGATGAGACTTAGAAAAAGAAGGGAAATGAAGCTGTCCCTTGACTACCCAGTTTTTGTTGAGGTTTATTACTTCTAAATAAGGTTTACACAAAGTTTACACTATGTTTTTTCACTTCTCAAGTTTCAGCAAATACCTGAACCAAGTTTATTTGTTATTTTAGAACTGCCCTGGAGTGCCTTTTAACTTTTGTACCACCACACAAAGTGTACTATCAGCTCATGTCCTTTAGCTCGTTTTTTTTTTTTTTTTTTTTTTAGACAGTCTCGCTCTTATCGCCCAGGCTAGACTGCAGTGGCAAAAATCTCGGCTCACCGTAACCTCCACCTCCCAGGTTCAAGGGATTCTCCTGCCTCAGCCTCCTTAGTAGCTGAGACTACAGCTGTGTGCCACCACGCCCAGCTAAATTTTTTATTTTTAGTAGAGACGGGGTTTCACAATGTTGGTCAGGCTGGTCTTGAACTCCTGACCTCGTGATCCACCCGTCTCGGCCTCCCAAAGTGCTGGGATTACAGGCCTGAGCCACCGTGTCCAGCCAGCTCTTCTATTCTTTAATGCATTTCTCCCATTCCTGTGGGTATGGTGGGGATCAACCTTTCATACCACCAAGAATCATACCACCTTATTCCCTTTGAAGTAGTGCCCTGCTGGGCGCGATGGCTCACGCTTGTAATCCCAGCACTTTGGGAGGCTGAGGCGGGTGGATCACGAGGTCAAGAGATCGAGACCATCCTGGTCAACATGGTGAAACCCCGTCTCTACTAAAACCACAAAAAATTAGCTGGGCATGGTGGCGCGTGCCTGTAATCCCAGCTACTCAGGAGGCTGAGGCAGGAGAATTGCCTGAACCCAGGAGGCGGAGGTTGCGGTGAGCCGAGATCACGCCATTGCACTCCAGCCTGGGTAAACTCCATCTCAAAAAAAAAAGAAATAGTGCCCTATGGCATAAGCTTGTTCATACGGTGTTCAAGCAGCTACCGTTCACTTCTATGAGGGTCACCTTACTGAAAACCAAGGTATGACGAGTAACTAAACCTTCTCATCAAGCAGAAGCAAGCTGAACTTGAGAAATGGAGCCTGGGCCAGGCAGAGTGACTCACGCCTGTAATCCCAGGACTTTGGGAGCCCAAGGTGGGCAGATTGCTTGAGCCCAGGAGTTTGAGACCAGTCTGGGCAACATGATGAAACTGTTTCTACAAAACAAACAAACAAAAAGCCAGCCACAGTGGTTGGTTCGAGACTGTAGTCCCAGCTACTCGGGAGGCTGAGGTGCGAGGATCACTTGAGCGTGTGAAGTAAAGGCTGCAGTGGGCTGTGACTGATGGCATTACTGCCTGGGTGACAGATCAAGACCCTGTCAAAAAAAAAAAAAAAAAAAAAGAAAAGAAAAAAGAAAAGGAAAAAAGGAGGAAGGGAGGGAAATGGAGCCTAGGTTTGAATCCTGGCTCCCTCACTTACTGGTTGGGTAACTTACCGCAGGCATTATGACTTATCTGGAAAACAGGGATAATACCTGTTTCAGCAGGTTGCTTTGAAGATTAAAACTTACAAGTACCTTGTAAAGCACACATAGGTTCTCAACACATTAACTGCTTTCCATCCAAAAAGGCAGAGAGATTAGCAAATGACCTTCACTAACCACTCTACGTAGTTTATCATCGTTTCCAGAGAAGCTCCAGCTCATTCAGGATAACTATAGATCCATGGTCTTAACTTTCAAACATTAATTTGCCAACCTTTAGCCAAGCTTATATTTAACATAAAAACGAGACAAAACAGAACATGCTTCAAGTTACAGGTGGTAGGATTATTTTGCATATTAAAATGAAGAATGTGAACACAGAGCCTAAGACTTAGGTGATCAAATTTTTATCAGTTCAATCTCTATAGCCATGCAGTCTCTTGAAAGAAAAACAGACTAAGAACTCACAGCTTGTGTGTAACCTTCATGAGTTGTGTCAAATGCTAAATTAGAAAGCTGACCCTAATTCAGAGTCCCTACTTCTTAATAAGCTTCACACATTTTTTTTTTTTCCAGGCATTAAGCACTGTAACCTAAGTGGGAAGAAAGAGATCCACACCTTCCCCAAAGAAACAGAAGATGGATCTAGTGTCAGGCTCAATTAGACCCAATTGTGATGGCTCTCCAAAAAGGAACAATGCAGCTTTTGTGATATGCTCGCGCAGAAAACTTGGACATTTTACAAAACAATCTTATCCCAAAGAGAAACCTGGGTTCTAGCCCTCTTCCTGGAAAGAGGGGTTGATCCAGGAAAGTTTTATACCACTCTTATCAGCTCTTGCTCAGATCAGTATTTTTTTTAAAACAATCTCAGAAACAACCAAGACCAATGTGAAACCAGGAATGTGAACCACTCCCCTGCTGAAGCATTTACACCCATAGGTCTCCACAGCCAAACCACAGGGTGTCAGATTATTTCGTTATTGTCTACCAAAGGGAACTCTTTGCTGGAATTGCTGGTATTCATTAATCTGCCCCCGTTTCAGTCTTAAAAAACCTTGACAGAGTGAATCCAGTGGCCAGCCTTGGCTATTGGAAGTGCTAAAATGCAAATGTGCAAGAATCCTGGCCAAGCTCCCCATCCCCCAGGAAAGTGCTTCCTTACAGCCGGGCCTGGAGGGGAATGTTAAAAAGAGGGCTAGAGCTGCCCTCCTCCTTTCCACCAGGACCCTCACTCACACTGGGAGATTCAGTATGCATGACTGAGCCGGCAAGCACGCAAGGACAGCGCTCTTTTTAACTTTTCTGAACAATGGCTTCAGTCCTTCCACCTTCACATCCTCCCCACACCCAGGGCAAAGAAATCCATCTTTCTTCCCCACGTCCACATCTCATGATCCACTTTTTCAACGTCACCCCTAGATCTCACATTTACCCAAAGAAAAACTGACCACTCGGGGAAACTGTGACTTACGTACAAATCTGGTTTTTAAAAAAAGTTTCATTTTGTTCAATTTCTTTAAATTTCCACGTTGACAGTTTAAAGCCAAAAATTATATAAATCTCCAGTCTAATCACATTTCTAGAAACAAAACATGTCAGTAGTAAACCTTATACAGAATAAAATTTTACCCATGAGCTGGCTCACCCCCACATAGGATGCACCAAACTCCACCTTGCGTCCTCTTAGAGTGTACAAACAGCACCTCCTACCTTGGCATCTACCCAAGCACACAATGCCTTAAAAATAATTCGCAGATACAAGGCTGATTTTTTTTTTTCAAAAACATACTTCATATTTCCTCTTTTATTATATAAATATCAGTTTAACCTTTTACTGTAAGAATATAAACGTTTTAAGAGGATCTTTGTTATTATTTATACAAATTCACAAACAGTACAATTAATTGATAAAGGTCTCTGGGTTTCTTTTAACTCCATGGTCTCGCATGTTGCTGTGGAGGATTCTAAAAAAATAACAAAAATCCAACAAAAATATACATCCTACTCAAAAGTGATTTCTTTAAAGCCACAAGTCCCAATCCCCACCAAAGTAAAGAAAGTCATCTATTCCTCCATTTAGAAACAGAATTTTTTTTTAAACCCACAAACTCTCATTTTGTTAATAGAACAGAGATAAGACATGAGCTTCATCATAGCCCCGGGGCTCTGCAGGCCAGCTCTGCTCCTGCTTCCTGTGGAAGCCGCACTGTGTGACCTTTTAGTGGGGAAACATGGAAGAGGATGAGGGTAGGGCAGAATTTGCATATATAATCATCATTTTCAAGACACAATCTGCATCTCAAACAAAAACAACGGTTCAACTCTCATTGTGCCCACGTATTTGTGCTATAAATTAAGTCAAGATTTAGAAACAGGTCCTCACATCCCAATGGACAAGGAGAAGAAAGAAATTATAGCCAGAATGTGGAAGTGGGGCACGCTGGACGGATGGAGGCTGGGAAGAAGCCAACACAAAAAGACAGACAAACCCAAGGGCATCCTTCCAGTCTAGGCACAAACATGTTTCAGTCTCAAAATATCTCTCTTGTAGAATTCCAGGGCTTCAGAAAAAAAGTAAACTAAAACGAGGTAGCCAGACACATATATGTATATATATATATATATATATAATTTATATATATATAATATATAGAATATATTCAGCAGAAAAAAAGGACCATGGTTTCAAATTTCTTCCAAAAAATTTTTTAAAAAGGAAAGAAAATTAAGACAATGAAATGAGCGTGAATAGCAGAGTACTGTAAAAGGAGGAGTGATGAGAAGAGACTAGGATTAGTCACAAAGTGGAAGAAGGGTGAAAAGGCCATTGTAGCTGGGTTTGCTTTTTATACATTTCAAAATAAAAACCAGATCACAGTATTCAAATGAAAGCTGAAGTGAAGGCAGACATTTTCCTCAACTCCCCAGGGTTGAAAAGACAAGTCACTCCCCACCCCTATTTCCAGTCGTAGCAGTGGGGATACAGTAGCTGAATCAGTCCTCCACCCCCTGCAGGGGAGTGGGTGGGTAAGCAGCAGAGTCCATCTCTCCATCCGCAGGGAAAAGGAGCTGGGAGTAGGGTAGGGTAGGAACCCCAGCTGCAAAGAGAATGGGCTGGAAGCCGGGAGGGGGTTGGAGGAGGGAGGAGAAAACGAGCCTGAGGCTTCTGTCACAGCCCGTTCTCATCCGCTGCAATGATCTGTGCATACGTGTGCGTGTGAGTGTGTGGGGGACGGTGGTGATGGGAGGATGAACAGGGCGGGACAAGGGGAGCTGGTGCTGCCGCCCTCACCTGACCTTCTCACTGTCCGTCATCTGCCAGAGTCCCAGGTTGAGTACCTTGAGGCAGGGCAGCTGCGTGATGCGCTCCAGGCCGCGCTTGGTGATTCGGGTGCAGCCGTACAGGTCTATGCCGGTGAGCTGGCTCAGGTGCTCAGCGATCAGCTCCAGGCCCTTGTCCGTGATGCGCACACACTGTCCAATGTTGAGTGTGCGCAGCCCGTGCATCTGCCGCACCATGCGGTTGATGCCATCATCACTGATGTGGCAGGAGCAGAGGGAGAGCGACTTGAGGCCATCCAGCCCCTGGGCTATGTAAGCCAGACTCTGGTCCCCCACCTTGTCACAGAATGACACATCCAGCCCCGAGAGGCGAAGGCTGCCCATGGCCAGATGCATGATGCCCGTGTCACTGATGTTGTCACAGGAGCGCAGGTTGAGGCTGCGCAGGCTGCCCATGTGCGACAGGTGCAGGAGGCCAGCGTCCGAGATGCCCCCGCAGAAGCTGAGGTTGAGGAGCCTCAGGCCCGTCAGCCCTCGGGAGATGTGCTTTAGAGACAGATCTGTGAGCTTCTGGCAGTCCTGCAGCGTGAGCTGCTCCAGGCTCAGGCAGCCCTCCGCGGCGCTGCGCGTCATGCCAGCCAGGTGCCCGATGCCCACATCCGAGAGGTGGCGGCAGCTGCGGAGGTTAAGGCTCTTGAGGCGCTGTAGACCCCAGGCGATGAGCAGAAGGCCGGTATTGGTAATGTTGCTGCAACCCCCCAGCTCCAGCACCTCCAGGCCCTTCAGGTACTGGGCTATGCGGCCCAGGCTGCTGTCAGTGATCTGCTTGCAGAGACTCAGGTTGAGAGCACGCAGGGAGCCGATCTCCTGCACAAACGCGTGGCCCAGCCCGTTGTCGGTGAGGTTGTAGCAGCCGCTGAGGTTGAGGCTTTCGATGTTGGCCATGCCCTGGATCACGTAGCTGAGGCTGCGGCGGAGACTTAGGATCTGCACTCGGCGGATGCCCCGGGCCTGCAGGCTGGGGAACAGCGACGGGTTGGCCCGGCGCAGGTGCAGCTTGGCCTCCACCCCCCGCCACACCGACTTGTGGTAGGCGGCGTCCCGCCAGGCCGTGCACACCTGCGCCGCGCGCCCCTTGTCCCGGACGTCCAGGTAGCCGAAGATCATGGCCAGCAGCTCGGGGAACAGGCACGAGATATGGGTCTCCATCTTCCTCCTCCCCCCTCCGCGGCGCTGGGGGGAGGAGGCGCGGGCCCCACCGCTCCGGCCCCGGGCAGGCGACGAGAGCGCGTCTCCCCAGCCGCTACCGCCGCCGCCGCCGCCTCGGGCCCAACGGCCGGCCCCTCCCCGCCTTCCGGCTCCGGCCGCCGCCGCTCCTCCTCCTGGTCCGTCCGTCCTTCCTTCCTGCCGGCTGCGCCTCCGGCCCGGCCCTCCCCCGCCCCGGGCTCCGCGCGGCGCTCACATCCCGGGCGGGGAAGGCGCCTCGCTCTCGCTCCCGGAGGCCGGCCTCCGCTGCCGCCTCGGCTCTACCCACGCCGCGCCCGGGCCGCGCCGCTCCGCCCGCGCCGCCGCGCCCACGCCCCCTGCCGCATCCTCCGCCTCCTGCCGCCGCCGCTGCTCCGCGGGCCGGCGGGCGGCGAGGGGGCCCCGGGGCCGGGCGCACGGGCTCCGGGCGCTGAGGAGGCTTCCTGCTGCCTTTGTCTCTCGCCCGCTTTTCAAACCTCCCAGCCCCGGGCCGCCCGCACTCCGCCGCCCAGGCGGGGGGACCAGGAGGCCAATCCCGGCCGGCGGCGCGTGTTCCTTCTCCCCCGCCGTCCGTGGCCACTTGGGAGCTGCCGGCCCCCGCACCGAGGACGCCGCGGCCGCCCGGCCGGAGCGCGGCTCGGCGCAAACCCCGGGCGAGCAGGCGGGCCGCGCGTTTGGTAGCGTCCGGGCGGCCCCGGCCCCGCCGCCCTGCCGCGCGTCCCCTCTGCCGCTCCCGCTCCCCCGCGCCCGCGCAATGGTACGGGCCTGCGCTGCCGGAACTGTGGAGCCGTTGCCCTGGAAACCGAGTTCGGCCTGGTCCCGTGGCCCCTGGTTTTTAACCCTGTGGGCGCCGTGCGGGAGCAGCAGCTGTCAGCAGAGCGCCTCCCCACCCGGCTTCTTTTCACCCTATAGCCCGTTATTGAGCTGTTCCCTCTCTGGGCCACGCCCCAACCCCGTCCCTTGTCTTTTTCTTTGCTGTAGACGTCTGCGCAGCCTCTTCCCACACTTTACCCCTACAATTCCTGACCCTTACTTTTACACCCCTCTCGCTTGATTATCCCTGCGAGAGCCTCCTCCTATAGCAGTGCTCAGTAATCATCACCCCAACTCTCCTTTTCTTACTGTCCCTAATGCCCCTTCACACGTCTCGTTATCACACCCCCAGCTCCCCAGTAGGGGCTGTTTACTACGACTCCTTTCTCTCCAGTCTTGTGTCTTAAATTGGAGAGAAACACGGCTTTATTCATCTTGGGTAAACAATGACCCCCTCCAGTCGGTGTTCTAGAAATTTCTAGAATTATCCATGACTACTTCCTTCAAGCATCTTTTGATGGTTTCCAGACACTCTGTGTGTGTTTCCCTTAGTACTTGATACATCAAGACTTCCCTCCACTTCTGCAGCTGCTGCACCACCAATGCCCTCAGCCTGCTTTGCTCCTGGAGGGTAACAGCCTTCCCCAAGTCTTCTTTTAGGAGCTTTCTCCTTGTCATCAGCCTTAGACCATCAGTTGCATGGCTCAGTTGTACTGATAGTCAATATATTCGTATATGCTGAATCCTGTTTACTTTTTGATAAAAACAGAATGACAAACTTGGTTTAAGACACTCCAGTCGTGTCTGTTGGTTTATGAACTGTTTTATGGAAACAGGGCAATATTCCATTCTAGGATGTAGCCCCTGGGTCCTAAATGTCCGTACTAAGGATAGAATTTCAGAAGTTTCATTTTAACTACTCCCAAACCTAGCATTTCTGGATCAGAGAAAATGACCCTCTGTATTTTAATTTATGGATCCACACAGCTACATACAAGACAATCTGATTTTCAGAAAGGAAAATGGTTTCATTGATTCTTTGAGGACCTGAACAAGATTTGGTAGGGGTTCCATATTCGGTGTAGGAGAGTAACTTTTGCCCAAGCAACCAATACTAGACCAAATAATACAGATTGAGTAATAGGCATAATACACCTTTTACACCCCACCACTCCTGTTTCCTGAATCAGGAAATGCAGAAGCAAAAATTCTCACCAGCTTGTTACCTCACCCACATTACACGCAGTGTGAAGCCCATAGATTTTTATAACCTTCCTGAAAAAATAGACTGTACTGTTAGTCATCCACATGATTCCAGATGGACGGTGGCAGTAAAGTGTCACGATTCTGGGGTGTGCCTGGGCCTCGCTCTTCTCCTGGGCTTATCCAGGCTTCTATTCTTCTCTGTCACTTCTCCTTAAACTTTTACCTTAAATTCTGCGTGAAAGTCACTTTTTGGTTGTTCTGCAGACCTAGATGTGTTTGGGTTGATATCAAGGCCTTAATCCAAAGCACCTTAGTGTAACTTAATCCTGCTTAATACAAAACAAAGTACCCCACCCATTTGGGGGGAATTTTAGACTGGGGGCCTGAGCAGGCTTGGACTAAGAAGGAGCTTAATGGTTTTTCTTCTCTAGAAAGGCCTTTGTTCTCAAATCTGGAGAGTTATTCAGAGGTGCCTGGAAGCACTTTCTCTAGAAGTTGGCCATCTGGTCCTCATTCTGGCAACAGTTTTTCTTGACTTGACCTCTAGAATTTTATTAACACAGAGCCTTTTATTTAAGAAATATAGCATCACGAAGTATCACAGGAAAGCATTTGTGGGGAAAAGGAACTAGGGCATAGAATGAGCCCTATGCAGAACCTGAGCACCTGGTGATTTTATGCCGCTGAGAAAATGACTCCCCTTTCTGGGTTTCGGTTTCCCTGTGTAACACCAGGGTGATTTGACTAGGTAACCTTCAGGGACCTTTCCAGGAGGAACACTCTGTGAGGCCAAGAGCCTAGCCCATGGAATTATGCATTGTTCCTAATGCAGGCTGCAGATATGAAGAATAATTTCACATACAGTAACTTCCTGGGAGTTTGGTTTATGCTCAGACTTGGAACACAAAAATATATGGAGAGTATGTATAGACAAGAGACTCTGATTGTCTGGCAAAGACGTATACCAGTATAGGAAATCCCGGGGCTTGCTGTTCATATTTTTAAAACCGATTGAGATTTTTGTATATGATTTAACAAGTTGCAACCAGAAGGGTTTTTTTCTGAATGAACTACAACCCATTTAAAAGCAGAAATGATAGCCTTGTATAGGGAGCTGCTCCAAAACCTTACCAAGAATTTTTTTAAATTCTAGATTTTTCAGATGGCGGGTGCGTTTCACCTGGGTAGGGTGGGAAAATTGGGAGGCCCAACCCAAAGATCGGGCTTACCTAAGGATTCATACGTTCTCCTTCAGAAGGGGAAGGCCTGACAGGAAAGATCAGAAGAGCTCTGTAGTTTTTAACTCCTCATTCAAGAATATATACATCTCCAAAAATAGTGGTCCAGAGTCTAGTTTATGGGCTGGGTCAAAGAATTTAAAACAGGCCAGGCGCAGTGGCTCACGCCTCTAATCCCAGCATTTTGGGAGGCTGAGGTGGGCTGATCACTTGAGGCCAGAAGTTTGAGACCAGCCAGGCCAACATAGTGAAACCCCGTGTCTACTAAAAATATATATAAAAATATTAGCCAGGCATGGTGACACATGCCTATAATCCCAGCTACTTGGGAGGCTGAGGCGTGAAAATCGCATGAACCTCTGCCTTGGGGGCAGAGGTTGCAGTGAGCTAGTACTGTGTGCCACTGCCCTCCAGCCTGGGGAACAGAGCTAGAGACCTTGTCTTAAATAAATAAGCAAAAGAAAGAGTAAGAGTTGGGCCAGGTGTGGTGGCTCATGCCTGTAATCCCAGCACTTTGGGAGACTGAGGCGGGTGGATCACAAGGTCAAGAGTTCAAGACCATCCTGGCCAATATGATGAAATCCTGTCTCTACTAAAAATACAAAAATTAGCCAGGCATGGTGGTGTGTGCCTGTAGTCCCAGCTACTTGGGAGACTGAGACAGGAGAATTGCTTGAACCCAGGAGGCGGAGGCTGCAGTGAGCCAAGATCACGCCACTGCACTGTAGCCTGGGCAACCGAGCAAGACTCCATCTCAAAAAAAAAGTTAAAATATTTTGTGTCTATTTTCCTTGAAGTCTCATGGATTTATGGCACAATGCCTGCTAAGTAGTAGACACTTTTGTCAATGTTGTTTCACTGAAATGAATGAGATGAATAATATAAATAATAATCTCTTTTTGAAAGACTTCATATATATCAAAACTTCTTGGAGAGGTCTGGGCAGCCAATAGTAATCTGGGGTTTATAATAAATTGCTACCTTTCCAACTTCAAGGTTTCCTGAGAGTAACATTCATTCTATTGCTAAGTATTTCTAAGTAGGAAAGCATCTCTCTCATGACACTTCTTGGTGACAGAATAGTAAAGATAAGAGAGGGTGAGGATTTGATTCACTTATTGCAAATAAAAGATTTAAGCAGAAACAACAACCAAAAAAACCCTATTTTAAAATGGGCAAAGGATTTAAGTAGACATTCCTCCAAAGAAGATACAAACGGCCCACAGTACATGAAAAGTTAATCCGTATCATTAGTCATTAGGAAAATGCAAATCAAAGCCACAATAAGACACCACCTCATATCCATAAGGATGGCTACTATTAATAAAACGAAAATAGCAAGTGTAGGTGAGGATGTGGAGAAAGTAGAATCCTGGTGCACTGTGGGTAAGAATGTAAAGTTGTGGGCCAGGCACAGGGGTTCACATCTGTAATTCCAGCACTTTGAGAGGCTGCAGCAGGAGGACTGCTTGAGCCCAGGAGTTCGAGATCAGCCTGGGCAACATAGCAAGACCCCATCTCTATTATAAAAAATTTTGCAGCTGCTATGGAAAATGGTATGGACGTTTCTCAAAAGATTAAAAATAGAACTACCATATGATTCAGCAATTCTGCTTCTATGTATGTAACCAAAAGAATTGAAAGCAAGGGTTCTGAGAGCTATTTGTACATCCATGTTCATAGTAACATTATTTATAATACCAAAAGGTAGAAGCAACCCAAATGTCCATTGACAAATGAATAGATAAACACATTGTGGCCGGGCGCTGTGGCTCACGCCTGTAATCCCAGCTCTTAGGGAGGCAGAGGCGGGAGGATAGCTTGAGCCCAGGAGTTCGAGACCTGCCTGGGCAATATAGCGAGACCCCGTTCTCCACAAAATGGAAAAAAAACAAAAAAACAAATTGTGGTGTATACACACAAAATAAGATTATTCAGCCTTAAAAAGGAAGGAGATTCTGACACATAGTACGATGGAGATGAACCTTAAGGATATTTTGCTAAGTTAATAAACCAGTCACAAAAGGACAAATACTGTACAATTCCACTTATATGAGGTATCTAGAGTAGTCAAAATTATAGAAACAGAAAACATAATCATTGCTAGGGGCTGGGGAGAGGGTCGATGTGGAATGGGGAGTTGTTTAAAGGATATAGAGGTTCAGTTTTACAAGATTGAAAAGTTCTGAATATTGGTTGCACAATAATGTGAATA